TTAACTCACTTAGACCTCACACCTTGCAAGTGACTGTAATGCCATGTCAGTGGTCTGCAGAACCCAAGCTTTGGAGGGACTGACTGCCCAAAGGCTCTGAAATCAGTGAGTGGCAAGGCCAATCTGAAAGGCATGGTGTTGAATAGCAGTCCCCTCCTCAGATAGGGCTCTAACAGCCGAGGAAATCACGACACCAGACGCTCCCAGGCTCCATCTCAAATCAGGCTGGCTAGGCTCCCACGCTCCTCCTGGCTTAGTGTCCTGAACACCAGGACACTCCCTCTACAAAGGGGCACCGTGCGGGCCCGGGGAGAGGGAAGGGGCTTAAGCAAACACACTGCCTTGTGCACACGTGGCTTGCGTCATTTCTAGTATTCCCAGATATCCCTCAAAGGCCTGGCTTTGCTTTTGCTGCTGCTGCTGCTGCTGCCGCCAGATCAGATGCACTTGGGATTGCTACCTGCTGAGCCCGGGCCCTCCAGCCCCCAAGGTTCTGAAGCAGAAAATTAGTTCTCCTCCTGTGTACCTCAGCCCCCTCTGCACCTCGGACCGTATCTGTCTCCCTCGTGTGCTCTGCCTGATGATGCTTTCTCCCGGACACTTGCGGGCGAGCTGGCAGATCTCTTGCCGCTCCTGTGTGTCCACGCGACCTGTCTCCCCACTTCCCAGACGCCTCGTCCCCCGAGGCGTGAGGACCAAGGAGGTACCTTCCACCCAGGAGGCCATTTCAGCCAGCTCATCCCTCTGCCCCCAGGCATGACTAGCAGGGACCACACTTAGCCAGATGGCTGTCCATTCTCCTCCAGACCTCGGGGGAAGGAGGCTCCCCCATCTCCATGGGCAACCCTGGATCTCTGACAGCAAGTTCTTTCACTTTTCAAGCCCGGTCTCGGGTGATGGCATGCCCTGCAGGGCAGCAGCTGTGACTAATCCTGGGTTTGAGACCCTGCCTCGTGCCTCGCTGGTGTCTGTGATGCAAAGCCGGCGGCAAGAAAGGCGCTCTGGGAGGGTGCAGGGAGGCTCTGTCTGAGAGGCTCTCCCAAGGTGGCGGGGGAAGTGTCCTGGGAATGGAGAGGCAGGTGGGGCTGGAATGGCCCCAGTGGAGGTGGCCCCCAAGGCCAAGACCCACCCGGGATTGCCTTGAGAGCTTTAGGACCAGGTCTGAGTAGCCGGGTGGGACGGCTGTAGCTTGGCACTGTGAAGGGCAAGGGCTTTCGGGTCAGAGGGACCTGGTTCAAGTCCCTGCCCGGCCACTTAGCAGCGGGTGCCCCTCTGGCCTCATGTCCTCATCTGTAAAATGGAGGGAATCCTGGGGCACGTGGTGTGGCTCAGTCAGTTAAGTGGCCGATTCGATTTCCGCTAGGATCATGATGTGTTAGTGAGTTTGAGCCCTGTGTTGGGTTCTGCGCTGACAGTGTGGAGCCTGCTTGGGATTCTGTCTCTCTCTCTGTTCCTCCCCAACTTGTGCTCTCTCTCTCTCAAAATAAATAAATAAACTTAAAAAATTTTTTTTTAAATGGAGATAACGCTAGCACCTACCTTGCTGATCTGTGGGGCAGGAAAGAAACACAAGTGGGTAGAAATGCCCTCTAGAAGGAAGAGCTGGCCGCTTTATGTGCGCTATCTCGCTTCATCTTCCCCGTTTTACAGGTGAGGAGCCGGAAGCGTGGAGGGGCCCGTGTGGGAGGCTGGACCTGAGCCCAGGCCTGGGCACAAAGCCTGGGGGCTTTCCCCGGTGCCGCCGGCTCCCCGTTCCGCGCAAGCCTGCCCGAGAGTGCCTGCCCGTCCCTTGCAAAGCACCCCGCCCGCCCACCCTGAGCTCCTATTGTTTCTGCCACTCCCTCCTCCCACCTCCACTCCTCCCAAATCCGGAGCAGGAGCAGGACGCTCCGGGGAACAGGGCCCCTTCTGGGGAGACACGAAAGCCCCGCTGAGCAGTGCAGAGGCAGCACGTGGCCTAGCAGGGAAGCCATGATGACCTTCACACAGGAGGGGTGAACACACGTCCCACCCTTCATCAGCATGGATGGGGTCACACAGCCCCCCTGTGGGAAGGAAGAAGGGTAATTTCCTCAGAGCAGAAATCTGAGCACAGACTTGAGTGGCACCATCAGTGTCGCCATGTGGCCAAACCCGTGCCACCAAACTGAGCTCTGGGACTACCCCCCCCACCCCCCACCATCACGCTGGCAATCAGAGACCCTGTCTGATTCTGGCTGGGCGGACGCCCCCACTCCTGACATGGGACACAGGGAAGAACTTCAAGAGTCAATGATGTGGGGGATACAGCGGGGGGAAAGACACAGACAGGCATCCCAGCCATGCCCAGACTCACAAAGCCAGGGCCCTGCAAAAACTCCAGCTCCTCGTGGGCAAGGGGAGGAAGTCTCCCAGAGGTCTGGTGAGAATATCAGAGTGGCAGTGCCTCAAGGAGACGTGTGGCCCAGCCTGCAGCCGAGTGTGGGCTCAGTGGGCCCAGGAAGGGCCAGCCAGGGCCTGCCCCGTCGGCGTGGGTCCAAGTGCAGTGGGATCCACTTCAGCAGCCCAGAGCCGGGCCACCAGACAGCTGTCAGGCTGTCCGCCAGCCTGGGTATTTTTAGGGTGTCCTCCTTTTGGTGCCCAAATCTCAAACGTTTGGATACTTTTTTCCTAATCGTGGCTCCAATTTCTCATGTATCTAATAGTCATTTGAAATGATTCATGGAAAAATGCCTTAGCTACCAATTTCTTTGTGCCACAGACAGTGTGGTTTTTAAATAACAAGCTACTTAAACACACACGTGTGCACGTAACCACTGAAGCTCTGCTATCACAATTACACACAGACAACGACCCAGGTCACAGAGAAACTCTGGTGCCGTTTTAGAGCACTGGGGGCTGGGAACCGTCCCAGGGGAAAAGCCAGAGGGCAGCCGCAAAGACATCCAAGGGGTTCTGGGCTCAACGCCTGCAGAGGGACACCTCCCTGGCCTGCCCCACAGCCAACAGCCACGGTCACGGCCAGAGGGCCAAACAGCCCAGGCCAGGCCAGTGGGCCCAAAGAAGGCTCATCTTCTCCCAACCACCTTTGCTTGGGTGACCAGGCCCAGTCCAGCGCCCTCAGGACCTCACCAAACAATAAGCAAGCTTCCCCCGCCGCAACATTTTTTTCCTTGCCCTTTCTCCTTCCCGGCCAACTCTGGAAACCACAACAATTTCTCCACAAAGCAGAAACAGCTGGGGCTTAGGGCCTAGGCTCTGGTTCCACCTTCCAGCTGGGTGCTTCGCCAGGAAGCCTGGGGCCTCCACCTGCTGCCTTCTTGCTGGGTGTCAGCAGAGTGCCCTACCTCGGCCCTGCATTCTCTGTCCACCTTGAAGATAACGACGATCCAGCAATGACACCAGTCATAACAGCAGCAGTGGTAGCATTTACTGGGAATCTACTTTGTGTGTGTACTGGGTCATTACTGCCGTAGGTCTCTTGTAATGAAAGACAGTACTGTCTGTGCAGTGTTGTGAGCGGAGCTTATGTGGCCCTGGCAAGTTATCAAATCTCTCTCTGCCTCCACTTACTCATCTGTAAAATGGGGCTGTGACGCACACCCACTTCCCGTGTGTACACCAGTGAGTGTTCGCATGTAAAGTGCTCAGCACAGGGCCTAGCACACAGTAAATCCTCAGTAAGTGTCGACTATCACTATTCAGTCCTTACAACGGCGTCATCACCATCCCTCTGTTTACAGCAGAGGCCCAAGGGGTCTGAAACCTTGCACAAAGTTCTCAGGGTCCGTGAACGCAAACCACCTGACTCCTGGGCCCCTGCATTCCCAGCTCGCCGGGTTTGCCACGTGTCCGCAGGATTTCCCGTGTTTCACGGTGGCTGTTTTGAATGAAGTAGGGTGCGTTGCACCTTTGTTTTCCGTGACTGTGGGGGCACTGGGGGGGTGGGCCTGGCTGCGGAGTAGGTGTGAGAACCACAAAGTTGACAAGACCTGGTGCCACTCAAAGGCAACAGCCAGCTGGGGTGGGGGCCGGGGAGAGCAGCAGCCTTCTGTCGTCAAGGCCGCGGGTCACCTTCCTCCACCCTGCGGTACAGAGCCCCTTGGGCTCTCTCGCGCCCCAGGGCCTGCTGGGCGGTGGAATGCGTGCTGGTGGGTCTTCCTAAACCAAAGCCAGTCTTTCTCACTCCCGGGACCTTCAGGCACACAACTCTCCAGCCCATGGACAGAGCCAGCAGGGAGGCCATGTTGGCCTCCAGGTGAGGCGCATGCCAGCATTTATGATGTTCTGGGCAAATTATAAAAAAGGATCCTCTCTAGTGAGAAAAAAATTTAAAAGCAGTCAAGACCAATTAGAAAAGGCACTCTGTCTGCAGGCGGACATGACCCTGTGCTTGTCCCCTGCCTGTGCCCCTCATTGGGTCCTCTTGTGCAGTGCCGAACCTTCCCATCTGTTCTTAGCAGCCCTGCTCCCAGATGGGGAAGGGTTAGGCTCCTGTAGTGAGAGCAGCAGGCCTGGATCCTGAGGCTATTCAACCAGTAACCTGCCAGACTGTGATGTTTTTGTCTGTGACATGAGGGGACGGGGCACAGCGTACCTCAGATCCCTACCAACAACAAAGAGGACAGTGGCATCATCATGATGACAACAGGTGACAGAGGCCCAGGTACCACCCACACACTGTCCTGCGTGCTTTTTCTCAGAGCCCTGGCTCACTCCGTTCTCAGGCAGGTGTGATACCTGTTTTCATGAAAGAGGCAAAGGAATTTCAGAGAGCCCAGGAACTGAGCAACAGAGCTGGAAAATCAGAGACGGAAGCCAAAACCTATCATGAGCCTCAAAGAGCCCTGGGTGTCTCAACCCTGGGTGAAAAGTCCCATCGCACGCCAGGGCCAGGTCTTGATTCGTGTGAATCATCAGCCGCTTCCTCAGAGGCACGCAGGCTGGCACCAGTCGGTCAGCCAGCACACCGGGTGGTGCGCCCCTCCCAACCTGGTGTGCAGCCCAAGAGAGACCCCTACCGCTCATTGTTCAGAGCCATCCTCGGGGGGTCCAGGTTGGGGTTCTCCATGGACTCCATCTGTGGACACCGCAGGAAGTAGTAGAGCGTGTGGAGGGCGTCAGGGGACCAGGTGACGGGCTGGGGTGGCTGACGGGCCTGGCGGGCGGGGCTGGAGCCAGGACAGAGCGGGTGGCGCCCCTGCATGTGATGCATGGCGCGGGAGACCAGGTCACCTGGCGGGGAGGGCAGAAGGGAGAGACAGAGAAGAAAACGTCTGAGTTCGCTGCCCACATTCCTCCAAGGCTGCTTGTAGCTAATGAGAAACCGCTCCCCTTGCCTGGGCGCCTAATTACTGTTTACCCCGGAGCCAAGAGGCGGGGGAGGTGGAAACTGTCACCCAGACACGCACAAGAGCAAGTAAGTTTTCCTTTCGCTGCGGGTTTTGCCTTAGTAGCTGAACTAAAAAGCCCTGGCAGGACCGTCTTATGCTAATGCGGTTTCTTTTTCGACATCCCCACTCCCTCCAACACCCCATGGCTCTCTTTGAGCCAGGGAGTCCCAGCGTCAGACACCCAGCACCAGGGTGTGACACCAGCAGGGAGGTGACGGCCCCAGGTTGTCGTCCTGTGCAACGCCCAGGTCCTTCAGCAGGGAAGGCGCCTCCATCCCCAACACGTCAGGTAACACTGCCATCATCGCCACCATTGAGTGCTCACTACATGCCGAGTGTTCGGTTTCCTACAAAAGAGCTTTCGTTCGACCCTTATGATGCTGGGGCCAAGTATTATCCCCCAAATACAGATGAAGAAATGGAGGCTTACCTGGTAAACAAACACTTACTGACCCCCTCCAGTCCCCTGGTCACCGGGAGGCCACCGTGTACAGAACTTAACCAGCCAAGGTCCTGTGGCTAGTAGATGGTAGAATCTACACTTGAATGCAGGTCTCTGACTCCAAAGACCATGAGCTGAACTGTGACCCAGACCTGACCCACTGAAGTCTGTGGGGTCCTTGGGTCCCCATATCCTGCGCTGTGTTTCTGCCCAAGTCAAGTCTTTTCAATATCCCCGCTGGCCTGGGACAGGAAATGTCCCATCATTGTGTGAGGCCACAATGCTGAGAAAGGATGGGCCAAACAGCCCCAGGCACCTGCCGGCCCCTCTGTTCCGGGAAAAGTGTCACCCTTCCATTCTCCTCTGGCCTGAGAACTCAAAGGGGGGTGGTGGGACACGACTCCCCTGTGGGCCAGCTTCCCCCCCACCTCCTCTGGATGAGGCCGGCCCTAAGGCGAGAAAAACAAGCAGGTTTTAACCTGGCGAAGAGAAGCGTCATTCCATGTTTGGCAGCACCAGTTCATTTATTCAATTGATCTTCATTTATAGCTTCTTCGAGTCTGGTTCTCTGCCCCACTGCATCCTAGCACCCTGCACAGGGTCTACCACATGAGAGGTGCTCAGCAAACATTTACAGAATAAAAAAACTAGCCTTGCGCATTCATTCCATTTCATTTCAAAATACAGCTTCTGGGTGTGTGTGGGGGGGTGGGGGGCTGCACTTAGGTCCATTAGCGGCCAAGTTCTCCTGGGACAGCCTCAGCAAGGGAAAATGACACCCCTGGAACTGGAGATCTCCACCAGGAAAGAGAGCCCTGTGCCCCCACCCCCACCTCCTCCCTCCTTCCTCTCTCTGCACCTGACTCTGCTCCTCGCTGGTACCCCCTGGAGCAGCCGAGAGCGGGGACGTGTGGACACCCGGCTCCCATCCTCAACGCTCTGCTTTCATCGGTCTGGGGTGGGACCTACGCATCCTATCTTGTAAAAGCTCCCTCGGCGAATCTAATGTCTGGTGAGGTGAGAGAATCAGCAGGTTAACAGGTGAGAGCGCAGATCCCAGAGTCAGGCACTCCGGGCTTCCAGTCAGGGCTCTGGTACCTGCAACCCTGTGCCTTACGTAAGTTTCTCACCAGAGCCTCCATCTCCTCATCCGTAAAATGGAATAATCGTATCTCACCTAAACATTCGGAGGACTCAAATAAATAATAAATGTGAAGCACTTAACGTCATGCTTGGCACAGAGTCCTTGGTAAAGATGAACTGTAACGCCATTATTACTACTCTTGTTCCTCTCTTCTCCAGGCCACCTCCCATGGCCTCGCTTCCAGGACTTTTTTCCACGCCATTAAGCCTTACCCCACATTTCCCAGGAGAGGAGGAGTCTGAGCCCTGCGATGCCAGCTCCCAGCCCCGCTCTCGGACTCCTGGGCGGCAGAAACTGGCACCGACAATCCTGCCTCCCAGCAGCGAGTTGCACAGCTAACTTGGCTTCAAGAAGTTGCAACCTGGCTTCCATTTCTCCAGGTCGAAATGCCATAACTTTTGGCAGGGTCACAGAACCAGGGGGGAGAAGCCAAAGAATCCCTGATTGCATCAGAGAGAGAGAAAGAGAGAGAGAGAGAGAGACCTTGTGGAAATGCTTCAAAGGCTCGACAAGGTAGAAGCCATTATCATTCATCATGTTTATGATTATTTTATTGTTACCGGTGTAGAACCCTTTCGGCAGCACATTCCCAGCCAGGATGCAGGCAAGAAAATCGAGTAAGAAAGTAAGAAGTGGAAGCAACTCTTAAGTGTTCCCTAAAGGGAAGCCAGGTACTGAGAGAGCCCTTCCAGAGGTTCGGGGGACAAAGGCAGCAGTGTGGCAGCTGGGGACGGAGGTCCCCAGACTCTCGGTCACAAGCCCAGCTGCGTGCCTTCGGTCTCTCACAGACCAAGAAGCAGATGCCTGCAGACAACTCAGATCAGGCATCTAAAAACTCACACGGCTCTGCAGCCCTCATTCACAGCCAAAGCAAACGGCTCGCTTTGGGTTACTCTCCCCAGGGTGGTTTTCCTCCCTGCTCCCTGATATTTTTTAGGCTTGAGAGTGGGGAAAACATAGATTAAATCTCATTTAATCTGCACAACCACCCCATAAGGGAGGTATTTCCAGTTTACAAATGAGGAAACAGGCTCGCGGACGTTAAATGGTGGTAAGTGAACCAGCCGGGACTTAACCTGGGGACCCTGCACCCCAAACGCATGCTCTTGGTCACTGCTCCACAGTGTGGTCTGCATACTGGGACAGGTCTGCAAACTGTGTGTTACTTTTTTTTTTTTTTTTTTACTGGATCACAACAAGTTAATTCCAGAAATTGAGAGTGAGCTTTAAGAGAGTCTCAGAGTTGAGGCGCCTGGGTGGCTCAGTCTGTTAAGTGTCTGACGTTAGCTCAGGTCATGCTCTCGCAGTTAGTGAATTCGAGCCCTGCATTGGACTCTGTGCTGACAGCTCAGAGCCTGGAGCCTGCTTTGGATTCTGTGTGTCCCTTTCTGTCTGACCCTCCCCTGCTCTCTCTCTCTCTCTGTCAAAAATAAACAAACATAAAAAATTTTTTAAAATAAATCTCACAGTAATTTGACAGAGTGATTATATGTCTAATAATTTTTTACAAATTGGCTTGCGTTTTACATGTCTTTGATTTTATTTTTTAGACACTCATTTTCATTGTATTTTATAGAAGCTTCGGTCGGCAATTAAGAGTGGGGACGCAGATTCCCTGGCCTGTCACCATGGCTGATTTGAGAAGTCATGGCCCAGACTGGATGACACTCTTGATTTAGTGCAGGTGGGCACTCAGAGCTGCTTCAGAAATGCCTTTGCGCTGGAGAATCAGCTGATCCTAAGCTCAATGAAACCTCAGTCTGAAGCCCAGAAACGCCCACAAGGCACGGAAAAGCAGGCCCTCACTGCTTGCTAATCATGAGAGCCTTGGTTAGAGGCGCTACAGGTTTCTGGTCTGTCCAACGCCGTCTGGCTACCTTTAAAAAGAAGGTATCTCGTGTGCCCTCCCATTTACATGTTGATGGGGAGAGAGGGACAGAGAGACAAGCACCTGAGTTCTCTATGCAGCTGGACCTGACATAAAAAAGAAACTTCTAAACCCGCCTGGCAGGCTGGTCCTGGCTCAAGTGCAGGGAGTTAATGCGTGTTAAACCCGGGGTAAACTCTAAGGTCCAAGGAGTTCAGTGCCAAGTATCACTAGCCTCATTAAGTTCTTCAGTTTCATAAAATCTGCATTATCTGCCTCCACCTTTGTCTCCTCCCTCCTGCAGAGTGGGTTCACAAAATCCCTGGTTTCAGGGTGAGGGAGGTGGGGCAGCATGGCACATGACACAGCCTGTTCAGTCGTCTGGGGAAAGATGCTACGGGGATGCTTCTTCCCTCTGCCCTGAGGAGTGGCTGGGCCAGGATGTGGACAGATCCTACGTGGGTTTTAGGAGGCAAACACTGGACAATTCAGAACTCATTCCTCTGCACACACGCACATGTGCACACAAGCATGCACACACACACACACAGACACACACACACACAGACACACACACACACAGACACACACACACACGATGAGGCACTATTCTAATCACGGGGACACAGTACAGTGGGGACCAAAACAGAGAAAGTCTATTCTCATGAAGCCGACATTCTAGGCAGAGGAAAGAGATGATGAACTATTTACAAGTAAATAGTTACAAGTGTTTTGAAAGAACTGAAGTTCTAAGAGGGAAGATGGAGGGATGAGAAGGGGGTGCTCAGGGAAGACCTGTCTAATAAAGTATCATTTGGGCAGAGACTTGGAGAAAATGAAGGGCGAACATATTTGGGTTTCTGGGGGGAAATGGTCACAGGCAGAGGGGACAGCTAGTGCAAAGGCCCTGGGCTGGGAGAATCCTGGCCAGGAGGCCAGGGTGGCTGGAGCACAGTTAACAGGAGTAGAGCAGTAGGCAATGAAGCCAGATCATATATTAGATCTTGGGCTATGGTGAGGATTTTGGATTTCACTGAGCGAGCTGGGAAGCAATGGGGTAGGGGGATGGAGGGATACTGAGCAGATGGGTGGTATCTGACATGGCTCTAGTTTGGGCTGAGTTGACAGGAGTGGAGGTGGCAAAAGGGCAAACTAAAACTTGGGCTGTTTATAAAAGGAAGAACCAATAGGGGCTGAATGTTAAGGGCAGATGATGGCAAGCCCTTCCCTTGAGGAAAGTTTCTGAATGGGCTTCCCTTTGCCCGGCTGTGGACGGTAACGCCCACAGAAGCTGCCATGGTAAAAGGAAAGGATCAGACTCCAAACCTGATCTCAGCTGAGATGCTGGTGGCTGTGCCGCTAGCCACATCTAGGAAGCCCGCAGCCCGAAGCAATTCGAAGGGTGGCCACTTAAGGCAGACATACCTGAACCCACTTCCTCCAGGGTCCCGGGGCAGCTATGTACCGGCCCTGACTGCTGTGGCGCCCCCAGGAGACAGACAGCTGGAAGTCCTGCTTTCTCTCCCAACCCTGTTATGAATCTGCTCTGTGACCTTGAACCAGGCACTTTCTTTCCCGCTCTGGGAAGGGAGAGGAAGGATGGAGGGAGGGAGGAAGCTGTGTCCTGAAGAAGCAAAAAGGTTGTCATTCACCATTCAGAAAGCTCAAGGAAGTCAGAAATGGGAAGGGGGAGAGCTGAGTGAAACTCCATCTGTTTCCACACCATGCACTTCTGTCCCTGGATGTGGGACCGCCCACCACTGGGAGGTCCCATGGCACAGGAAGGGAGAACTAAGGAGGAGTGGGCAGTTTGATTTCTTAAATAATTGGGACGAAAGAGAGAGAGAGAGACAGAGAGAGACACACAGAGAGAGAGAGAGAGACAGAGAGAGACACAGAGAGACAGAGAGATCAGGAGATGAATGAGATTTCTCCCCCAACACACTCTTTTCAAGCAGCTGCCAAACGGTAATGACCTAGACCAAGGCATTCCCCCGTGTCCTGCAGAGCCCTGAGATCCTAGGAGAAGCAGCCCAGGGTCACTGCAGGGCTGAGGCCACACGCCAACACAACCTCCCTTCAGCCAGAGGAGCTCTGCTTCTATCTTCCATTTTCTACACTGAGACTTCGGGGGGGGGGGGGGGGGGCGGTGCTTTCTTTTAAGGAAGAATAACAGTTATAGATGCAGAGCATTTGGGGCCAGGCTGTAAAATACCAAGGTAGATGACAGCGTAGGGAAAGCAGGCTCCCCCTGATCACTGCCATGCAGGAATGGTCATCTGATGTTTCAAGAGAAACCAGAAGTCCAGATTTGTGTATGATCAAGCCCACAGGCCAATCAAACCATACATGTTTGTGGGCCATGAGTTTGCACTCTCTGGCCTGGAAGGGTCCCAGCTTGCAGAGAAAAGGCAGGAAGTTTGAAGGAGGAGGAAGAAGAGGAGGAGGCCAGAATCCAAAAGGTGAGCTCTTCCCCGACCTCTCCCTCAGAGCCAGCTAGACTGGGACGCCCCACTTACTCAGCTCGGAGATGCTTCCCACGCAGGTGGCCAGGAGGGACTGCTCCAGGGTCCGGAGCTCCAGCTGGGCGTATGCATCGGCTCGCTCATCGTGGCCCAGGGACCCGCCATTGTAAGGACTGAAGTACGCAGGGAGAGAGAGGACGCCTGTGGGGAAATAGGCAGACAGGTAAGTTCAGGAAGGAAGCAAAGGTCCTTCCTGGGGTTGGGGGTGGGGTGTGGGGTCAGTGGGCAAATCTCAAAGCTGCACTTGAGGATATCTGACTTCTACAAAAGCCAGAACGAGGAGGGGCCCCCTTGTAGAGGTAGTTTCTTGGCACTGGCCTCTACAAGCTCATGGGCCATTCGGGAATTCATTCACTCCTGCACTTCTCCATTCACTGGATATTTACAACGCCTCCCTCGGCCCAGGCATTGTGCTCCATTCAGGATGATAGGGTGACGAAGAGACCTGGCTTTGCCTTCATGGACCTCAGGGGACGTAAATGTCCACCATGCCCACCCACCCCCCCCCCGCGGGGGCACCCCCCCCCCCCCCCCCCCCCCCCGAGTCCTCTCACGTCCTCATACTGCCCCCTTTCCTTCTTCCTGCCAAGAAGGGGACGAGGACAAACCACGGTGTAGGAGATGCTGTCTTCTCCACTCCAAGGAGGGGAAACATCCCAGCCACTGGCCAAGTTCAATTAGTGTTTTTCATTAGCACTTCAGCACCAGAGGGGAAGAGCCGTCAAAATCAATCCCAGGGGGTAACAGTCTGTACATTTCTCCAACTCACTGTGTGGCTTCTTAGAAAGCACGAGAAAAGCACGATCAGACTGGCTTAAAATTACATGTTGGTTCTCAAGAGCATGTGGCCACAGAGATTCCCAGCCTTTGGTAACTGCTGTTCCTGTGATCAATGCATCTTTGTCCAATAGCCCCCTGCACTTTTTTTTTCTTTTTTCTTTTTTTTTAAAGAAAAATACCCACAGGACCGTAATCAGTCACTTTTGGGAATATCTCTTAAAATGCCTTGAGATAGCTGGAGAGCCCCTGGGATGTGGCCAAATCTGGGTTAGAATTCCCTGTCCCGCACACGGAAATGTAATGAGGATGGTGACTGCTATAGACAGCGAGCAGCGCGGTGAAGACGGGGCCTTGGAGCTGGGACGTTTGGGCTCCCGAATCTGGCTCTGTCACTTAACCAGCGGTGTGATCTCAGGCCACTTACTGCACTTCTCTGTGCCTCAGAGTCCTTGCGTGTTAAGCGCAGATAAGGAGAGCACCTCCCTCATTGTGTGGCTGTGAGGACTGATGAGCTATTGGATGTCAATGTTGCACCAGCGTGTGGCTCAGAGGAAATGCTCTGTTGGGGGCTGTCGCTCTCATTTTTGCTACATGCTGGGAATGTAGGCTTAATTTTCACCTTCTAATTTATTCTTTCTAGGGGCCCCTGGGTGGCTCAGTCGGTTAAGCGTCCGACTTCGGCTCAGGTCATGATCCTGCAGTCCTGTGAGTTCGAGCCCCGCGTCGGGCTCTGTGCCGACAGCCTGGACCTTGCTTCGCATTCTGTGTCTCCCTCTCTCTCTGCCCCTCCCCAGCTTGCACTCGGTCTCTCTCTCTCAAAGATAAACATTAAAAAAAATTTTTTTAATTTATTCTTTCTGTAAGGTAGGCACTGCTGCCCCATTTTAGATATTGGGTGACTGATGTTCAGAGAGTTTGAATAACTTGTTCAACTCCGAGGCGGAGCTAGGATTTGAATCTGGATCTGACGGGCTCTCAAATGTGTACACCTAATCCCTCTCGTGAGCTCACGTCCGACGAGCGCACCACCAAGGCTCTCCCGTGGCTGCCCCGGGGTCGGTGGACTGTGCATGTGCTGATACCGCTGTATCACCACCGCCTGGTTCACCCAGGAAGCCCCCTGCTGCGTCTTGTGTGTTCCTCTCCCGTGGGGCAAACACACATGACACTCTTCCTCTGCCGGGACCCGGGCAGAGTTCTCTGACCGCTGTGCAGGTTCAGCTGACAATCAGCCCTGCCCTCCTCTGTGCTGCCTCACTGCCCCCTTAACCCCCCTTCAGCCCTCCGGGATGGCAGCGGCCCCTCCCATCAAATCTAGTGCTGACGCAGCAACGCAGGGCATCAGAGCACTTCCTCAAAGCATGCTTCCCAGTGGGAGGATGGGGAGGGCACAACTGGGCTCCCCCTATGCCCCAGCCTTGTTCCCCAAAGCAGAAACTCTCCCTGACAGCTGAGTGCCCAAACCCATTAGGGCGAGCTGGCTCTGAGCATTAAAACAAGTAAAATGAAAGGGAATCTGCACCCCTTCCAACACACACACACACACACACACACACACACACACACACACACACTCTATAAGCTCTAACCCACAGACAGCCCAAACATTTGGGAGAGTTTCCACACATCTATGGGTCCTGTGCAGGCTGTGTTCCCCTCCCTTCTTCATTATTAATCTACAGAAACAACACTGGGGACATGTGGATCAAATTTACAGTGCTTAGGGCAAGGGAATAGGAAATTCAGCCGATTTGTCAAAGGATTCCCAGGGAGAAATATTATGTCAATGGATCCAGTAACACGAGCTGGCAGCTCCATTAATAACGGTTCCTATCTTCCTAGTCATCACCCAGCAGAGGGGCTTTCACTTAATACTGTGGCAAAAGTAATTATGAACCTATTATTAATCATAATAATTGATGGCATCAGAGCTTTTGCGTAGTACCTTTTGCTTTTAAGAGACGTTTAACACGGAGTAATGTATTCTTCCGGCAAGGGAGGTGGGGCGGCCATTGCCAGTGAACAGCCACGTCTGACTTCCATTGAGGGCTTACTATATGCCAGGTGCTGTGATAACCCCACCGCATGATCACACTGGATCCCCAAAACTTCATGATGTACTCTCTGCACCCATCTTACAGATGAGAAAACCGAGGCCCCCAGAAGATGTGCCCAAGGATACTGAGGGTCAGAAACAGAACTGGGGCTAGAATTTCGATCTCTTGACTCTCAAGCTACTGAAATGAAATGGCGGCCTACCTGTGGCCGCCCTGTCCTTTAAACAACCCTAGGAGATTTGTGAGAAGAGGGGTTCCATTCTGTTTGGGCCCCGGGGTCTGACAGGAGGAAAGAGAAACTAAGATCCAGAAACAGCACTTTCCTTTTAATGGGTCTCTAGGCACCTCTTGCCAAGGATCCCTGGAGGCCGCCCATGGAAGTCTACAGATGGAGGCTGTCCTCTTATTCCCTCGGATCTTTCCAGAATGCAGCTCCACCACTTGTCTTCTGCATCTGCCCTTACAAAAGCCTTTTTTATGTCAATCTGAAATTCTTATAAGCCTGCTCCTCAACAGCTCTCCGTGGAGATGGAAAATCTTTACGTTCTCTTAACACGTCAGTGCCTTCTTAGCCCCACACAAATTCCCAGCCTTATGATAGGGCCCAGGGCAAGGTCATTCTGGAAAAAGGGATTTTAAACACACACACACACACACACACACACACACACACGCACGCACGCACACCCCCCCCCACAGAAAGGTGTGCGCACACCTCCCCCCACCCCAACACACAGAAAGAGCATCTCTCTCTTTTTTCCGTTGAATAAAATCTTTAGAAAAGATTATTTCAGTCATGATTGAAAAGAAAGCATGTTGGAATGCTTCTCTTGTGATCAGTTCACAAGGACATCCCTGATCAATCCTGCTGAACTCTGTAAAAGTCACAAAGAAAACCCACAGGCATCAACTCAGATCATTACTGCGACATGACCTACTGAGTCGGGAGCAGCAGGAGGCAGTAAGTCTGATGGAGTTATCCTTTACCTTCTATAAAAAATCAGCATTTCTGTTCAAACAGTGTTCCACTCGAGTGTACTTTGATTGTAGGTGAAGCCTCCACATTTCTCAGTCTACACACAGAACCATAATCTTCCCTCACTCGATTTTTCTCAATGCGGTTGCCCAACTCCTGAATCTCGGAACTCATTATCTCATCCCCTAAAGCTGCGGCTCCCTCCTCCACCGTCCCCTCCTGAGCACGGGGCCACATCCACCGAATTGCACAAGGACGGCCCATGAGTCATCCTTATCAAGTCTCCCTCCTCCTCCTGCACGCATACGATCAACCACAAGCCTTGCTGCTTTTACCACTTCAGCATCTCAAACATCCGCCACTGCCGGGACCCCAGTTCGGGCCACTGTCTCCCCTCACCAGATGCTACAGCAGCCTCCTCTCCTGTCTCCCCCCACCAGTCCTGTCCCATCCTTGCCGGCCCTTACTCTGGTCAGTCCTCTTCCGTGACTCCCCACTGCCCTGCAACAAGGGCATTTAAGTACCTTTCCACAGGTTAGAACTTTCTTTCTCTGAAATTTAAGGATGAAAACAGTTCTGCCAGTGAACGGGGGAAATACCCAGCACCTCCCAGGAAATCAGCAGAGCTGAGAAGCCTACGCGTATCTGCTCCCTGTTTCTCTGAGCTGTTTTGTTTTGTGAGTTTGGTCACCTGGCTCTGTGCCAGCCCTGGGTTTGGAAAAGCAACACGTTTTCTTCCCAGCTGATTCTCCACCAGCGCCCAGAGAGGGCGCCCTTGAGTTACATGGGAAAGCCACCGAGCAGAGGCCTGGGAACCCCGCCTTCTTGCCAGGGGTTGCCAACCAGGAATCAACCTGGGTTTCAGTTTGCAGCTTGCCAGCTCCCCCAAGCAAGCGCCACGCCAGAAGCAGATGGATTGCACACTGGGTTGACAAACCAGACTTTCAGTGCTCAGGTTTTTCAGAAGCAGGGCTTAGTCCAAAGGCCAAATCAATGGGGATTTCATTCTGTTCTCGGGGAGAGTCGGTGGCTTCTAGAGTCTTCTCCAGCCCCGGGACCCTACAGTCTGGCCTCTCTGTGTGCTCTAGCACTGAAGTGTAGCCTTCCAAACCTTCTTCCCCGCTTTCATTCTACTCTTTAACTTCTGAACTGTCAACAGTGGGAACAAACAGACCCTGTTATTATTATTTCCTATGGTTTAATTTCCCCCATAGCTCCAGTCTCCCTCCGCAGCACACACACTCAACTTTAAGGGTAAAGAAGAAGTCCTTTTTTGTGTGTGAAAACTGGATAGATTTATGGGTCAGCTTTTCTGACCGGTCATCAAA